CCAAAAAACTGAAGGAGATTAAAAGAATGTTCTGGTCTAATCCAAAGTAAATACTTAATGTCCAGAAATCTGAGTATATCTCAAGATCATATCAGTGATATACAGCTTAAAAGTGGAGCACAGGATCAGGTCCAAGAGGTGAATATAGCTGGACCGCTTGGTAATAGTGACCATAATTTAATTAAACTTAACATCACTGTGGCAGGGAAAACTCCACAGCAGCCCAAAACTGTAGCATTTAATTTCAGAAAGGGGAAATACACAAAAATGAGGAGGTTAGTGAAACAGAAATTAAAAGGTACAGTATCAAAAGTAAAATCCCTGCAAGCTGCGTGGAGACTTTTTAAAGACAACATAATAGAGGCTCAACTTAAATGTATATTCCAAATTTAAAAACACAGTAAGAGAACCAAAAAAGAGCCACCGTGGTTAAACAACAAAGTAAAACAAGCAGTGAAAAGCAAAGAGGCATCCTCTAAAAAGTGGAAGATGAATCCTATTGAGGAAAATAGAAAAGAGCATAAACTCTGGCAAACGAAGTGTAAAAATATAATTAGAAAGACCAAAAAAGAATTTGAAGAAAAGCTAGCCAAAGATTCCAAAAGTAATAGCTAATTTTTTTAAAAATACATCAGAAGCAAAAAGCCTGCTAAATAACCAGTGGGGCCACTGGACGATTAAGATGCTAAAGGAGCATTCAAAGACAATAAGGTCATTGTAGAGAAACTAAATGAATTCTTTGCATCAGTCTTCACTGTTGAGGATGTGAGGGAGATTCGCAAACCTGAGCCATTCTTTTTGGGTGACAGATCTGAGGAACTGTCCTAAATGGAGATGTCATTAGAGGAGGTTTGGGAACAAATTGATAAACTAAACAGTAATAAGTTTCCAGGGCCTGATGGTATTCACCCAAGAGTTCTGAAGGAACTCAAATGTGAAATTTCAGGACTACTAACTGTCATCTGTAACCTATCATTTAAATCAGCTTCTGTACCAAATGGCTGGAAGATAGCTAATGTGACGCCAATTTTTTAAAAAGGGCTCCAGAGGTGACCCTGGCAACTACAGGCCAATAAGCCTCACTTCAGTACTTGGCAAATTGGTTGAAACTATTGTAAAGAACAAAATTGTCAGACACATAGATGAACATAATTTGTTGGGAAATAGTCAACATGGTTTTTGTAAAGAGAAATCATGCCTCACCAATCTACTAGAATTATTTGAGGGGGTCAACAAGCATGCGGACAAAGGAGATCCAGTGAATATATTGTATTTAGATTTTCAGAAAGCCTTTGATAAGGTCCCTCACCAAAGGCTCTTAAGCAAAGTAAGCAGTCATGGGATAAGAGGGAAGGTTCTCTCATGGATTGGTAACTGGTTAAAAGATAGGAAACAAAGGGTAGGAATAAATGGTCAGTTTTCAGAATGGAGAGAGGTAAATAGTGGTGTCGACCAATGATCTGCACTGGTCCTATTTAACATATTCATAAATGATCTGGAAAAAGGGGTAAACAGTGAGGTGGCAAAATTTGCAGATGATACAAAACTACTCAAGATAGTTAAGTCCCAGGCAGACCGTGAAGAGCTACAAAAGGATCTCAAAAAACTGGGTGACTGGGCAACAAAATGGCAGATGAAATTTAATGTTGATAAATGCAAAGTAATGAACATTGGAAAACATAATCCCAACCATACATATAAAATTATGGGGTTTAAATTAGCTGTTACCACTCAGGAAAGAGATCTTGGAGTCATTGTGGATAGTTCTCTGAAATCATCCACTCAATGTGCAGCGGCAGTCAAAAAAGTGAACAGAATGTTGGGAATCATCAATAATAATAAGACAGAAAATATCATATTGCCGCTATATAAATCCATGGTACGGCCACACCTTGAATACTGCATGCAGATGTGGTTGCCCCATCTCAAAAAAGATATATTGGAATTGAAAAAGGTTCAGAAAAGGGCAACAAAAATGATTAGGGGTATAGAATGGTTTCCGTATGAGGAGAGATTAATCAGACAGGGACTTTTCAGCTTGGAACAGAGACGACTAAGGGGGTAGGGATATGATAGATGTCTATAAAATCATGAGTGTTCTAGAGAAAGTAAATAAGGAAGTGTTATTTACTCCTTCTCATAATACAAGAACAAGGGGCCACCAAATGAAATTAATATGTAGCTGGTGTAAAACAAACACAAGAAAGTATTTTTTCACGCAATGCACTGTCTACCTCTGGAACTCCTTGCCAATACTATAACAGAGTTCAAAAAGGAGCTAGATAAATTTTTTGAAGATAGGTCCATCAATGGCTATTAACCAGGATGGGCAGGAATGGTGTCCCTAGCCTCTGTTTGCAAGGAGTTGGGATTGGGTGACAGGGCATGGATCATTTGATGATAACCTGTCTGTTCATTCCCTTTGGGGCACCTGTCATTGGCCCCTGTCAGAGGACAGGATACTGGGCTTGATGGACCTCTGGTCTGACCCAGTATGGCCGTTCTTATGTTCTTATGTAATTATATGTTCCTCCAAGTTTCAATCAATTATAAAATGTTTGTGAAAATGTATGTTGCATGATTTCTATCTCCTAAAATGTTGATACATGGGTATGATTAAATACCTAGTGAGACACACCACTGTTTTTAGCTATTGTGTGGCTTCTCCCTGCATCTGAACAAAACTAGGTACTAGAATTGGTTGTAAAAATTCCAGTGAAGCAGTTTTTTGTTGGAATTTGCCGATTCATCAAAATCAAAACATATTGTGGAGACAGTTTGATTTTGGTGAAGTTCCTCTGGAACTAAACAAGGGGTCCAGTGGAAACCTGTCTGGCTTCCTGCCAGCTCACTCACCTGGCTCCTTGGCAGCTGCTTGGTGGGCTGCTGGGGAAGTTGATCTTTCAGGGCCTGCGGCTCTAGGACAGTGCACCATGCAGACCATCCCAAAGCCAGGGACCCTAGAGCTTCATCCCCTTCCGTGGAAAATTTCTAAATTTTAAATTTTTGTTTCAAATTGGAATGAAACCAAAGTTTCAAAATAGCAAAATCCTCCACAAAATGGAATATGTTTCGCCACCCAGCTCTATTAGGCACCACTTCCCTTGTTCTGCACACTGTCCTGCTAGTACATAAGGCCTTGATCATGCAAGGAGGCAGGCACCGTTGGACTCCTGTAGACTTTGAAGGGGCTCTTTGCAGGCATAGGGGTCAAGCAGAAGGCATTTCCTTGCAGGATCAGAACCTAACATCACTGAGAATACTCCTACTAGCTAAAGCTAAGTGAGTGGCTACATTGTTGCCGAATTGGGCCATATGTGGGGGGAAAAAAAGATTCAGAGATTAGTAAGCAATTGAGCATTAATAAACAAAGGAAATAAAGTAACAGTAAAAAAAAATACTAGCTTCCAAAACTGCATGGGCCAGATCCTCAATCTTGCAAAGACTTATGCACATGCTAAACTTTAGCCACTGGGATAAAGTCCCATTGACTGCAGTGGAATTGGGGCCAATTGGTGTAGTTCTATTACAGTCAGTTGAGCTATGCAGATTTACACCAACTGTGCATGTCACTCACTTCCAATGAAGATTCAAATGTGGGAGAGCACAAGGACTTGAACCAAGGTCCCCACATTCCTTGTAAATATTTTAACCTTCGAGCTATAGAGTTTCTCTCTCAATTTCTCCTGTTGAAGCTGTTCCACAGTAACTAAATATTCATGAAGCCAGAGAAAGGTTCAGAAAGAAAGATGGTGAAAGCTCACTATTTTTTGCAAACTGGAATTTTTGTTTTCTGGACAGTCCTATCTACAATATATGTTGCCAGATTCGGTGTTAGCTATACACAGAGCAGCTTAACTGTAAATTATTTGATCAGAAAATTCAGCTTTAATATAACATTTTACAAAATGGAGAACTGGTCTGAAATCATGATGAAATTCAATAAAGACAAGAGCAAAGTACTACACTTAGGAAGGAAAAATCAAATGCACAACTACAAAATGATGAATAAGTGGTAAATCAGTGCTGAAAAGGATATGGGGATTATAGCAGATCGCCATCTGAATTTGAGCCAACAATGTGATACATTGTGTATCATACAGTTGTGAAAAAGACTAATATTATTGGGTGTACTAACAGTACCGTTGTATGTAAAACGAGGGAGGTAATTGTCCCTCTCTACTCAGCATTGGTAAGGCCCCAGCTGGTGTACTGTGTCCATTTTTTGAGTGCCACACTTGAAGAAAGATGTAGGCAAACTAGAAAGAGTCCAGAGAAGAGCAACAAAAATAAGAAAAGGTTTGGAAAACCTGACCTATGCGGAAAAGTTTTTTAAAAACTGGCCATGTTTAGTTTAAGAAAAGAAGACTGAGGGGGGACCTGATAAAAGTCTTCAGATATGTTAAGGGCTGTGCTAAAGAGGAGGGTGATCAATTGTTCTCCTTGTCCCACCTTCAGTGGACATGGAGTAATTGGCTTAATTTCCAACCAGGAATATTCAGTTAGCTATTAGGCAAAGTTTCTCACTATATGGATAGTTGAGATCTGGAATAGGCTTCCAAGGGAAGTTGTGGAGTCCCCATCACTGGAAGTTTTAAAGAACAGGTTGGACAAACACCTGTCAGGGATGGTTTAGGTATACTTGGTCCTGCCTCAGAGCAGGGGGCTGGACTAGATGACTTCTCAAGGTCCATTCCAGCCCTACATTTCTGATTCTATTTCTTACCACTTTCCCCTCATGCTAAACATGAAATAGAGAGAGAATAGAAGAAAAACAAACGAACTTATGTTGAAATACTAAAAGCTATTTTTGGCATGTGCAATTTTCTAAAACCTTGGATCAGCCTGAATTCACTTTCACAGTAAAGAAAGGCCCTCAGGTCTAATTACAGTATTGTGCAAATTTTCTCAAAACTGGAAAAAAGATATTCCCAACCAAAGTTCTGAGACTCAGAATAACCCCAAATGATATGAGATTTAAAGGAGAACATAACTTGTACCTTTCTTATTGTCCTCTTAACAAGGTAATCTCCAACTGGTATGAGGGCACCTCCAAATACAGCCAGTACTGCACCAATGCTAACCCCCGTGAGTAGCCCACAGTTTCTGCCACAGCCCATGCTGCTTGTTGTTCAGTGTGCGCGTTGGCAGCTTGTTTCTAGGCTTCAGGTCCTTGTATAACTGTGTGGTCCCGATGCATCAACCGATCTTACCAACAGAAACTGCTCATACAACAGGAGAGAGAAAAAATCATTATCAAGAGCTCAAAGTGCAAAGTACATGATGGGAAACAAATAGGAAGATAAGTTTTAACATACTAAAACTAGCCTCCTCTATCTATGAGGTCTTAGTAGGAAAAAAGTTATTTCTCGACTCCTTGGCACTTTAACTATTTGTTGCATGAAGTTATCTTGACAGTTCTACTGCTTGCAACACTGGGAACTTTTTTTCATTTTTATTTTCATTTCATCCAACCATATCCTTCCATCATTGTTCAGTCAAAACTCCTACCACAGTGTTGAGACTGCAATGAGAGTTTGGACCGAGTAGGGACTAAAGAATTTGGACCATAGGATTAGCCACACTGGATCAGACCACTGAGGAATCTGCTCTGAAATCCTGTCTCTGTCAGTGGCCAGTTGCAGGTAGTGAAAAAGAAAGGCAATGTTTTAAAGTACATAATAATGCCTCTAGCAAATTGTGCATACCACATCTTTGTGACTCCAACAAGCTGTACGTTTATGCCCTGATTAGCTACATCTTGACTGAATCCTTCACTTTTCATGCAGAAAATATCTACTATGCATAAAACAACCTAAAATAAACTTTGAATAAACCAAACTCTGCCTTGCCCTTAGGTAAATTAATGAAGACATGAATTAGCAGTAATTCTGCTTAACCTGATAGGTTTGCTCCCTATGTAGCTGAATTGACTTCAACATTCTCTGGATTTACAGTGGTATAAATAAGGCTATTTGAACCCGGGCAAATGGCAAACATGCATGTGTATCTAAGAGCAGATGTGTGTCCATAGAACCTTTTTCCTTAGGCTTGATTTCTCCTTTCACTTACACTGGTGTAAATCAGGAGTAAATCTACTGAAGTCAGTGATATAATGCCAGCATAAAACAAGAATTTGTCAGAATTGCTGAATTAGGAGTTACAAAAAATTAATACTTTTTGCAGGAATCACTGAAATTAAGAGAGTCAGGAAATTGATATACTTAAATAAAAGCTTCAGTGAGAATAGATTCTTCTAAAACACAGAGGGCCAGGTCCTCAACTGGTGTAAGTATAGCTCCACTGAAAGAATGCAGATTTGCATTTGCTGCAAGGCAGGCTTAGGAGGTGCACAAACAGAAGATTCCTTGAGAGCTCAGTAAAAGCAACGATAAAGCCTCATAAGCAGCGTGTGGATGTGCTGACAGGGGAGCAGGGCAGTACTTTAGAAATAAAGGGGTATATACTTCCGTTTTTACTCTGGGCATTCTTTCCATTCTGCTGATTAGTTGTTCACCCCAGTTCCCTCTCTCACAGTCTCTTCACTTCAATCTGCCCTCCCGGCTCTTTTCCCCCACCTGTTCTCCTTTCATCTATCCCTCTTGTATGAAGGGTGAGCAGGGGACATCTTTCTGTTTCTCTAATTTTCTGCCACTGAAAGCCTTCTGAATCATAGAACTAACATGACATATATCACCATCCCATTGTTCATTCTGCTTTTATATTATGTCCTGTCCCCCACAACCATTGTCTGTCTTGTCTATTTAGACCAGGGGTAGGGAACCTATGGCACGCGAGCTGATTTTCAGTGGCACTCACACTGCCTGGGTCCTGGCCACTGGTCCGGGGAGCTCTGCATTTTAATTTAATTTTAAATGAAGCTTCTTAAACATTTTTAAAACCTTATTTACTTTACATACAATAATAGTTTAGTTATATATTATAGATTTCTAGAAAGAGACCTTCTAAAAACATTAAAATGTATTACTGGCACGTGAAACCTTAAATTACAGTGAATAAATGAAGACTCGGCACACCACTTCTGAAAGGTTGCCCACCCCTGATTTAGACTGTAAGCTGTTCAGGGCAGGGGTTGGCTGTTACTATGTACTGTTTGTACAGTGTTTAGAACAATGGGGCACTGATATCAGCTTATGTTACCCCGAGGGAACAATATGATAATATTAGTAATAATTAAATCATATGTTATTACTGGGCCTTTGAAGAATACTCCCGGATGCTGATTCAGGGAAGATCTTAAGCACATGCTTCCATCCATCCATATTTCTGACAGAATTTAAGCACATGCTTAATTTGACCACTGACTTCAGTGGCATTTAGTATGAGCTTGAAGTTAAACAAATGCGTATGTGCTGCTTTGAATAGGCATGCCAGGGCCTTGGAGCTGTCAGCAGGAGTTCTACCTGCAGAATGATACCATATGATGGGTGCTCATATACCATCAGGAAGGGCGTGTTCTAAATACCTGCACAGATCAAATAGGATGAGATTAGATACCACAAATGCTGTGATAACGAGGTAAAGAGCAGAGCCATGTGATAGATTTAATTTGTGATGCACCTCCTCTGCATTCGCCCACTAATCCATCTGTGCTGTTAATTTTAACATTCCAAACATCTGAGCAGCTTCATACTGCTGCCATTTTAGAAAATCTGCCTGCAGAAAAAATGTTTCCTTCGTCTCTCCCTGACCTCCAACCCTCTCATTATAGTGCCTTGGTATGCAGTGTAGGATGTGCATTATTCAGTCTTCAATCCATGGCAGGTTTAATATATGATTACATGCATTAAACCATGACCATTCAGTGCTAGAAACAGGAAGGTCCTCAGTTTTCAAATGGGACCTGATCCTTACTTTTAGCAGGTGCTAGCACAGTTTAGGGTCTGGCCAACCTTGACAAGTATGTGTACAAAAATATGGCTCCACAAGGTGTGGTGAGCCCTCAGCTCCCATTGGCACTATGCAGGATTGGGGCCTAAGGCTGCAGTTGGTGCCAGATACAGTATAACTCAGGAGAAAAAAGTGGGTTAGTTCTTAATTTATACTAGTTTCAGACCTCACCACTGGCACAGAACTTGCCAACTTTTTATTCACCTGAGATCTCAGGGTAAGAGCAAAACTGCTCTTTCTTGCATGTTGCAAGTTGCTCCCTCTACTACTTGGTATTCTTAACAGTTTCTGTTAATATGATGTGAATGATTTAGGCTACATTAATTATAAAGCAGTTGTTTTCTTTTAGGGTTAAGTAAACATACGTGATCAAACATCTAGGAAGAAAGAATGCTTGCCATACCCACAGAATGGAGGACCATATCCTGGAAAGCAGAGACTATCAAAAGGATTTTAGGGGCCATAGTGGACATACATTAGCTCCCAGTGCAACACTATGGCATAAAGGCCTAATATGATCCTTAGATGTATGAACTATAGAGGAGCAAGAAGGAGGAAGGCAGCAATTTTATCTCTGTATATGGCATCGGCAAGACTGATATGAGAGCACTGTGTCCAGTTCTGGTGTCCTTTTCAGAAGGATGTTTACACATTGGTGATGGTGCAGAGAAGAATCACAGTAATGATTTGTGGGATGGAAAACAAAAAAACTTACAGTAAGAGATTTCAGGAGCTTTGTTTAGTTTATCAAAAAGGAGAGTGAGAGTTGACTTGCTAATAGTGTATAAATATACTATGCAGGGAGAAAATACCAAGTTACTAAAAGGGTCTTTAGTTTAACAGAGAAAGTCATAATAAGAGCCGATGGCTGGGAGCTAAACTCTAGTTAATCATAGGCACAACGTTTTAACAGGGAGGGTGATTAACCACTGGAACAAACTACCAAGGGAAGTGGAGGATTCTCCATCTCTTGATATCTTCAAATCAAGATTGAATGCCTTTCTGGAAGATATGATTTAGTCAAACACAAGCCATTTATAGCTCTGCAGAGGACAAAAAGTCCATATTGCAAAGATGTCAATTTGGCTTTGTTCTCAATCTGAATTAAATCCTAATATTATAAAATTATGAAGGAAAATTCTAAAATATATATCATCTTGTTTCAAGTTTGACTTTAGTTATTTGCATTATAGCATAATCTATAATGTGTTGTTCCAAAACTGTTAAAACAGGACGTTTTAACATTATCTGAACTTCCAATTGGTATTTCACTTTCAACAGAACTGCATATCCAAACAGAATATTGTTCCATCAAAGTTTTTCTGACCAGTTCTAGTGAAATTCTTTGGCCTGTGTTATACAGGAGGTCAGACTAGGTGATCTAAAATTACTTTCTGGCCTTACAAATCTATGCACTTATGAAAGTAGCAAACTCGATTTGCCAATTGGTTGGTAATAACTTTTGTCATAATTCCCTACTTTTGTAACTGTAAAGCATTCACCACTTTTCTACCAAATAAAATGCAATAACTGTCTAGACGCATCCCAAGTTATGCAATTCAGAAATCTTGTGTAATAGCTAATTACTTTCAGATAACTACAAGGTTACTGACAACATTCAATTGCAGATAGAAATAAGTATGTAACCCTTAGCTATCATCATTTTACAGCTAAATAACATATGAAGATAGAAATATTACATAACAATTGATAAAACAAGTTCCAGTTCAGAGCACATCCACTCCATCCTTATGTTATATATATTATGAAAAACAGAATATTATATATGGTGCCATGAAACAATTTCATTTTAACATTAACAAATTGATTTTAGCATTAGCACCACTATCCAACAGTAATCCCCTTCTGCAATGCTGGGCATGAAGATAATTTAAGTCTTTATACTGGTTGCTGTCTATGAAGTTGATCTTTGAAATCCCTTTTATTTTATGAGAACAGCTTAAAATATCTTTTCAAACCTCTGGGGAGCAACTGAATAGTGGGGGAAACAAAAAAAAGTCCTTAAAACTTTGTTCATTGGGTTCATTTAGTAGGGCTATTTGTGTGTTATGAATGCCTGTTTAAAGGAACACTGCCTAATCAAGTTTAGCCCAAAATTTAGACTGTATAAAAAAACGCCTTTACAAAAACCTAAGAACTGTATCAGCCTTCTCCTAGGATGTTCTTTACATTCTCTCAGACAGTTGTTTTTAAACAAATAAGCACTGCCTTACAATTTTTAGCAACAGCCAGACATTGGAGCCCTATGTTCCTGAAAGCAAAACTGACATCCTTTATGGCAGAGGTCCCC